TGATGTTCTATATTGTATTAGCATTAGGGTTTGAGTTAACAGGTCATTGGAAGGTAGAAACAGATCAACTGGAGGATTAACAGAATTATTACTAAACTTTGAGCAAACCAAACTCTTCCTTGGGAAATCCTGCCAAATGTTGCTGGTTATCAAGCAGAATTAGCAACATTATAAGAGAGCGCATTGCTCTGAACAGTGAAAAGATAATTGAGATTAAATGGCATAGGCATTGATACATTAGGTAAATATATACATTGGATTGGCCAGGCATATAATAGCATCTACGGCAGCCAATTGCAAGTGTGAACACCACACATCCTTGTGTTGTGAACATTTCTTTCTGGCCTGTTCATTTGTACAAAGAGGATCCAACTTGAATTATGTAAGATCTTGACAGTCTGGCCCTCAAACCTTGTGAGATGCCGACAGTTCTGAAATGTCATTCTCCCTGGATTGTATTTTCAAAGCCCAGCAACAATTGAAACCGTGATTTCAGATTACCAAAACAGATCAATGTCCCATCCTGATCATTTTAGAAGGGTTCCAAAATCCAGACAGCTGTTTCAAAGTTTGTTTTTAATTTAAATTTTTATTAAGTAAACATTAAAAACAATTGAACACAAGTGTGACTTTCTTGGCACTCATTTTTGCCATACATACTATAACCTAGAAATATAACAGTTGATCTTTCCTTTTTTACTACGTTATTAATTTAATGCTGGTTACATAGTTGTTTCTATTTGCATTTATATACATATTTACAACCTAGCTTCTTTTCCATCTCTTTTGTAGTCTTTATATTCATATCATATTTGTCCATTATATTTCATTTTCTTTAACTTACAAAACTTTAACTTTCATTCCTATAAAGTGTTAACAATTTTTTCTTTTCCTCGGCTCCAACCACTGATACATTTTACTCCAAACTTCATAGTACTCTATTCTTAATTTCTAGAATTAGTCCGTCCATCTCTGCACAGACTAATATTTTCCTTATTATTTTGCTGGCTGTTTCCAAGTTCTGAGCTCAGAATATTTGAAACGTTTCGCTCCCCAAATGGAGCCTTTTAGATTTGAAATATAAATGTTTTGCACTCCCCTAATCGCACAGTGACTCATGGTTGGTAAACATGACGTTGATACGCAAATGGCTTTATTACCCAACTTATAATACTTGCTGGAATAGATAATTTCCTTAGGCTCCCGAGGCTGTGGCTGTTGTAATTATTCATGACATTGAAGCCTGCAGTTGTCAAGTGTGCATTACACAAAGGTTGCACAATTTCACCAGCTCGCTGCCAACCGCTAGGTGGCAGTTTTACGATCTCTGTTAACTTGGGGCTGCCATTAAATTGTAGCAGGAGGAGAAAACGGCCAAAGTAATTTGTAAGGGCTCTGACTTTTGAAACTGAATGCTCCTGAATCTAGTCATTGTCTCAACTGAAAACTGAATCAACTCAGCTTGGTGTGTGTGTGTGTGTGTGTGTGTGTGTGTGTGTGTGTGTGTGTTTAATGAAGGATACAATGCAAACAGTTGATTTCCATGTGACCAGAGGAGCTTTTCTGCACATTCCTGATCAGTCTTGTAGTCTTAGCTCTTAGGTTGCTATCCAGGGTGCTGAACCTGAATTTTTGTTATCTTCTATATATCTATAAAAGTGAAAGACCACCCACGCATCATCACAAAATCTCCAGAACTGTAAAGCCTACAAACTTGAAATTTGGCACCTATGTTCCTCTTGGTGCTTACTAAGAAAGGATTTTTCTGAATGACCATCAGAGCATTAGGATTTCCTATATTATTATTAACATGCTCTGATGCTAAGGAGTTCTACTCCCACTCCCCACCTGAAAAGAAATCTGTTCCAAATGCAAAACACAAGCAGAGGAGAGGAGTTTCCGTTTCAGTTTTAGTTTCACAGCAGCACCAAGCAGCTTTAGTACAGAACAGTTGAGCTAAGCCACGCCTAGGCTCCTTGCTGTCTCCTTGCTCACATAGCAAATACTCTTTCAGTTTCCAAACAGCCCTCAACTCTCTCACACACTGACAAGACGCTAGCCAGATGAATACCGGTGGATGCTGGTAGGCAGAGGCAGAATTTTCCCTCCTTATTTTCCTCCCAAAAAAACTAAGCCCGACCACCTAGTTTCATAGCGAAGCATGGGTATCAAGCTAGTAGCATCATATATGGCATTTCTCAAAAGTTCTGAAGATGTGAATCCCAAACCTACAACACGAGAAGTCTTTTGACTTGCAACCATTTGTTCAGTGAGCGTTTGAAGTCAGGATTGAAATGCAACATTTCGTTTTAAGTAGGTCTTTTAAGATGGGGAGATGATGGGAAAGCATTCACAAATATACCAGCCATCAATTTATTAATTATTATTTATTTGGGGGGGGGGGCGGCAAAGTGTACTTCAATATGAAAACAGATAGCAATGGGAAGTTCCCAAAGAAGAGGGTATTTCTAGCTGAGGTTTGAACTGCGGAGTCCTTAGTGCTCTCTGAGCTTGGTGGTTTTCTTGCGAATTACTGGAGGAGAAGGAGGGGGACGAGGAAGAGGAGAAGGACTGTGTAGTCCTTGGTGCTCTGAGCTTTGTTGTTTCCTGGTGGGTTACAGGAGGAGGAGGAGGAAGAGGAAGAGGAGGAGGTGTCAGGCTCCTTCGTGCTCTCTGAGGTTGATTGTATTCTTGCAGACGTTTCATTATCCAAGTAGGTAACTTCATCAATGCCAGAAAGGAGTGAAGTTTGTTGGGAGGAAGAGAAGGAGGAGGAAGAAGAAGAGGAGGACTATAAGGTCCTTGGTGCTCTCTGAGGTCGGTTGTTTTCTTGCAGACGTTTCATTACCCAACTAGGTAGCATCATCAGTGCTAAAAGGGGGTGGGGTTCCCACCCCCCTTCTAGCACTGATAATATTACCCAGTTGGGTAATGAAACGTCTGCAAGAAAACCACCACTCTCAGCATGTTCCCAACTGCAGAACATTTGGGAAACATTGTCCAGGGATCAGTCAGACTCTCGATTCTTGCTTCCAGGAAGGAGAGAGAGAGAGATTCCCATTTGGGCTTCCAGCAGGCATCTGGGTTGACCCCCTAATAAGGGAAAGGATTCAGCTGAATCTGGTAGAGGCTATTTCACGGGTGTTTGGTGTCGCCGTCTTCAGAACGACGAATGAATCCGGAGGGCTTTTGAACCCAACGTTGACACTCTTGCCTAGGTGAGACCACAAGATTCTGGTGATGCCCAGCTGCTAAACAGCTCAAATGCCTACAGGCGGCACATACAGCTCGATCCTCACACGACTTTCCTCTCCTCTCACGTGCAGCCCGGGGAAGTGAGAAATTAAAATACAAATGAGCAAACGAGAGCCTACAATTAAGAAATGCAGCGATTTGCCAGAGCTGGGACTGGCTCTTCCTTGCCAAGATAAACAGTCCTCTAGACTCTTCGCAGCTGACTCCTCCTCGTTGTCTCTTTTTTGTTTTTGTATTGTTCTGGTTTTTTTTTTTCCCCCCCCCCCCCCCCAACAGGGTTTTTTTCCAAGCCAAAAACATTTGTCCTCTCATTAAGGAATATCGGATGTAAAAAAATCGGCATTTAAGGACACGCAACGGCAGCAAATAAAAGCAAAAATATCTCAACAGCCGCCAGAATAGCCTATGCACAAGTATGGAAAACTTCTAATATTCCCAGCCAAGAATTGGTACAACAAAAAATAATGGAAAGCGCTGAAATGAATATGCTTACACTGAAATTGAAAGAAGACTTTGAATATTTCTTAATTTAGTATAAATGGTACGATTGGATAACAAACAGAAATAAGAAATAAGATAGGAAAGTTAACTTGTAAGAGACCTTAAGAAAACGAATGATAAATATGTAGAATATATAAGAATATAAGAATAACAATTATGGATAAAGATATTAATCAGTGTTAGTATACAATATATTAAGACATATAAGGTAAGAACTTGTATAGATGTCAAAAATGCTGTTGAAGTTATGATGTTTTGAGTTGTAATAATGAAAATGTAATAATAATAATAATAATAATAATAATAATAATAATAATAATAATAATAATAATAATAATAATAATAATAATAATAATAATAATAATATAAAACAGAATATTTCCATTCAAGGAATCGCTGCTTTAAGAGCAGCCAACCCAAACGCTGCAGGAATGGGTTGGCTTCCTTCTTCCCAACCAGGGTGGAATTGTAAAATTTCATCTTTGGCAAAAAATAATTGGAAAAAACAGTGGGGAAGGGAGAGAAGATAGGGTGGTCTGGGGAGATCTGTCCATAACAACAAAAGACAAATGATCTCCTTACAGTCATCTCCTTTTCTTCTTCTTCTTCTTCTTCTTCTTCTTCTTCTTCTTCTTCTTCTT